AGGGAGGGAGGGAGGGAGAGAAGCAGAAATGAAAGGAAAGCGCGGCGGCGGCGGCCGAGCTGGAGGCCCGGAGGCGGCGGCGGCGGCGGCCCCCGGGCCCGCACGTGGGTGTCCCGGCGCCGAGCTCCCCCCGCGTCCCGCCGGGGACCCAAAGTTCCCCCCCTCGCCACCCGCCCCGCCCCGGCGGCTGCCCACAAACTTTGTTCTCGCCGCGGGGGTGCGCGTCCCCGGGGCTGGGGGAGGGCTGGGCGCACCGCGGGCGGCGGGGATGGGCGCCCCCGGGACAGGCGCGGGGCGCCGCGGGACCCCGCGCGGCCGGCCTCGGGGCGCCCCGGCCGGGGACCTGTTGAAGCGCTCGCCGGCTGGCGGGGTCCCCACGGCCTGTCGTCAGCCTCTCCAGCTCAGTTCCCCTTCCTCGTCGCCCGTCTGTCTCCGTCTCCTCGCGGTCATTTTCCTAATTGGACGGAGCTGTGGGGTGTGATCGCCGGCGTCGGATCGGGGTCCTGAGGCTGCCAGGTGGGCGCGGGGACTTGGGGACCGACGGAGCAGACACTGCAGACGCGCAGATCCCGCAGATCCCGCCCTTGGGCCACCGCCCCCCTAACCGGGGACTTGCTAACTAGTGCGTATCGGGTTTCTTTCCAACTTGCCTTTTAAGATGACTTTTATGGTCGCTGCAATTGCTTCTTTCCAGACTGAGCTGTAGTTGGGGAATATTTAAGAGGCCAGGGAGGTGCTCGCGTGGGTTTTAACTAACCCGAAACGGTCTTTAATGTATCTCTAAGCTCAGCGATAGTTGGGGCAAGCCTGAGCCGCAGCCTGGGTACATTTTCACAGGGACACTGAGAGGTGCTCTCTCTTCTTCCTCGTCTGAGCTGCCCAGTGAGGGACCATCCTCGTGGCCCATCTATGAGCTGCCAGCCTAGCACCCCAGCTGCTAAGGGCACCCTGTGCGCCTTTATTTCTGGGCAAAATGGAAACTCCAAGCCGGTGTCGACCTGGAGGGGACATAACAGTTCCTGTGGGCGCCTGGGAAATTCACGAAAATTCCCCCACAGGTGTGCAGAGCAGGCAGGACTTTGCACCCTTGGGGTCACCCAGATAACTTTGAAACTGCTCTTTCAGTCCTGCCTTTGTACACGTGTAAGTAAAAACAGCCAAAGTTCATTTCTGCCAAGTAGAAGACTGGGGTCCTGCTTGTACCCTCATCATTGTTGTACCCTCACCAGGGGCCTTCAAAAGACCTGCCCAGCTAGGTGGGGGACGGGAAGAAAACCACCCTTAATTGTCAATAGACAGTAAAACATGTATTCTTACTATTTGTGGTCAAAACCATGGGTCTGTCTGGTTTTGACTTTTGAGACCTAGGATGGCTATCCCTTACTTGTGTTAAAGCAAATGTTATTTTCTAGAGCTTTCTGGTGGTTTTGTTAGCTGGCCTTCGGGCCATGTCACCCTTAGCCAGGCACCTGCCAGGCTTGGAACAGGACCTCTGCCCGGTCAATTTCAGATCCAGCTGCGTTAGTGCAGTGCTCCGTTAGTGCAGTGCTCCGTAACCTGCAGGACCCACCTTTCCTGCAGGAAGGCAGCAGGGGTAGAGCTGCTTTCTTTTAGGTAGGGGGAGTTGGACATTTGGGTCACGTTTTCTTTTCTCCAGGCTTACCTGGTTGCCTGTGTGCCCATGGAGGGAGATGCAGGGAGTTGAAGTGGGTGCAGAGGCTCATTCCTGTCCTCAGAGCAGATTCCTGGGTGAGTCCTTATCCCGTGGCATGTGGCCATTTGTTCTGTACTTGGGTCACTTCCATTCCAACCAGGCTTTTCCTACCAGGGAAACCTACTTTGGGCCTGCTGTCTAGAGACAAGGAGCCAGACAGACAAGGTCTGGAGTGGTTTTCGAGTTGCAGGAAGGGAGACTAATGGGACCAGCAGAGATTTTGCATGACTTTTATTTTAGGTTTGCTTTGTGGCCCAGAGATACTTCTTTCGGAATTGTGTTTGGAAAGTTCAAGTTTGAAGTTAAAAGGGAGTAAATAAATAAAGGTGGTGTTGGGTGCATCTCAGAGGATGCTTTCCACAAGCTCCCCATGGGCTTGCTCACCCCCAGATCCCAGGGCAGGGGTTCATTTTGTTGAATTAAGGAATGTGTGAACTTGCTGAGTCTCATGTGGATGTGAGAAATTGCCTAAAAGAAACAGGCATAAGAAGCTCCATGCCTGGGGTCACGCAGTAAGTGACAGAGCCAGCACTCAATCACGAGCTTCCAGGGTCTACTTCCAGGGCTCTTAACACAAGGCTGCTGCCTCTATTCCTGCTGGGGATGCGGAAATCATGCTCTGTCCAAAGAACGTGGCTATGGGAACATGAAACCATGGGCATACGATACCCTCATGAGACGGGTAAATGGAGCACCCTATTTTCCAGGTGTGTTACACACACCGTTCTGGAGCATTTAATAGCCAGTGTGACTTGCTAGAGGAACCTGGCTCTTCTGGCTGTTTTAACATGGACTTGTTCAAAGTCCAGCAGTTCAGCAGGGCAGCAGTAGTTAAAGTCACTGGGATGTTCCCAAGTCACACTTTGCACTTTTTGATCCAGCATGCTTCCTTCATGCTCTGTACTTGTGTGTGATTTATTTAGGATTGGTCTGGGAGAAACGAATGGGGATGTAAGGAATGACCAGAGACCTGAACTGAATCTCCATTCATGCATTAGATCTCCTACTAGAATGTCGGTTTGTTAGCTTATAAGTCTTTCTTTGTTCATTGCTAAGCCCTGTGCCCAGAACAGGGCCTGGCGCATAGTGGGTCCTTGATAAATACTTATGGAATTAAGGAATCTCTGAATTTGTACAGGACATTAGGAAAAAGATTTCGCTGCTAGAAGGAACCCACAAATCATACACAGAGACAGCGACAGGGAGGTGATTGATGGGCACTGCAGAGTTTTGCAGTGAGTCATTGCTTCAAACTCGCTCCAGACAGGTAAGGCAGGAGGGGCTGGGAAGAGCCCATCCTGAATAGGTGGAGCTACTCGGTGGAGACTGGTGCCAAACAATAGAGAGATTCTTGCATTGCACTGGATATGAGGAGCATAACAATAATCACATATCTTGGCCTAGGCTCATCGTTGTGTATATCCTGTCCCTTGGTTCTCACAGGTGCTAGTTACTACATTATCATCCTATTTGGCATATTGGGACCCTGGAGCACAGAAGAGTTAAGTAACTCCTCCAAATGCACAGAGCTGGTATCTGAACCCAGGCAGACAGACTTAAAACTTCACCCTCCTAGGATGACAGCGAGGTCAGACATCTTGGCCCATCCAAGGACCTGAGCATTCAGAGCTTCAGGGTTGCTCGAAAGGATGGCAGCAGAAAAACTGGAAAAGAAATTATTGGTGTGCAGGGGAGCGGGGCTGGTCAGGGTGCATGCCCTCTGCCTCCTTTGCCAGGGCCCTCACAGTGCCCCAAGACCATTTACCCAGTGAAGACTAAGGGAATGCTTATGTGGGGGGAGCCTCCCTCTTTCCCAGGTAGAGTGGCTAGTACCAGATGGGGACTATTTTGCTCTTGATAAAGATTTAGGGGATTTTTTGGGTGGGGGGCAGAGTATGCTTTTCAACTTGAATTTTGGTTGGGGTGTATTTGGAACTGGTGGGAATTTTAAAGCTAGAAATGCCGCTGTTGGCCTCCGGGCCTCCACCTGCAGGCAGTGTTTTCCTCGGGCATGAGCCTTCCTGTTCCAGGATGCTGACCCAGGTTCTTCCAGACCACAACAGCTCCCCTTCCATTGACTGTGATCTATCAGGCACTGTGTTGGTCCCATCCTCACGGAGCTTGCGGTCTCCCTGGGAGACAGACAGTAAATTAATAATTACATAATGCTCTTTAATTACAGTTGTTACAAAAGCTTCAGAGGAAAAAGTACAGAGGCCATGAGCTCCTATCGTCAGGGAGGGTGGGGGGAAGAAGGCTTCCCTGAAGAAAAGAGCATTTAAACAGCCATGTGGGGGGTCGGGGGGGTGAAGAGGCTCTACCCCGGCTGGGATGGGCCGATAACCTTGATACAAACCCTTGCTGTTGTCTGTGGTCCACTCACCTACAGCATCAGCACCACCTGGGAGCTTTTTAGAAAT